AAGAGAAAAAGAGTGATTTTAAGACAGGTATTGAAGGGAGAGAGAGCTGGGCTGGAGGAGAAGGAAAGGAAGAAGAGGAAGAGGAGAAGGAATCCTAAATGTCAAGTTTATTATCCATTCCAAATGCATTTACAGAGTACCTGATATGTACAAACCTTTGATGACCAAGATATATGTGGTTCATTTCCCTAGATGGTACATCCTAGGGAAAGCAAAAGACACAGAGCATCTAATCTTAAATTAATTGTTTGATGACAGTTTTGATGATTGGCACCAACTAGAATATGGAGTACTATGAGAATAGTGGAGATTCTGACTCTACCTAGGGCTCAGGGAAGATTTCCTGAGGTTGTGATGAGGAAGACAAGCTATTTCAGGTGGAAGGGAGAGTGTGTCCTGAGACACCAGTAAAGGAAGGGACAGGGTTGCCTTGAGGAACAAAAGAAAGCTAATGTCATTGACACAGAGGGCCAAGGAAGAGTTTTGTGAGATTGAGTCGGGTCGGAAAGAAAGATGAACATAAAGTCGTGAAAAGCCTACTCCATCACATTTCACCATGTCCCCAGCAAGATGGCATAATAGTTTCTTTCTTCTATATTCAGATTCTTTGCTTGTTTCTCTGTTAAATAAAACCATATGGTTTTATTTTAGCTTCCAGTTGCTCATTTTGTACCCTATTCCTTTCATTCCTATTAGAATATATCTTTGGTTTAATCTTTGTGGATATGTATGTATCTATCGTATCTATAACACCATTAATCCATCTGTCTACCTGCTCACCTATTTATCTATCATCTATTTGTGTATCAATATATAAATGGACAGTAGGCAACAGATACACAAAGACAGAGATCATAAAAACAGGAACTACTCTTGACTTATCTGATTTTCCTTCCAACACCAAACATGGTGCTGAATTAACATCATGCATTTCAATAAATATGTGCTGAATGCAATTGAACTAAGAGAAAGAAATTCACCTGTTGCAGCAAGGAGGAAGGGGAAACTGAGGGACAGGAATGAAGGGTAATTTCTGAA